ACTCTAGACTGAAGGGAAGAGAAGCACCCAAATCCTGGCTGATATTACACCTTTTTACAAAAATGTGCTTAAAACAATGAAGCTAACCATGCAACATTTTCAGAAGACAAAAAAAAAAAAAAAAAAAAAAAAAAAAAAGAAAAGAAAAAAAAGAAAAAGAAAATGTCAGGCCTAGCCAATTATCATGGAGTCACAATAATTAGAACATAATTCTCGGTATGAAAAGTTCACAAAAACTATATCCACCATAAACACCTAATAAATTACTCTGAGACACACTCTCTGAGAAATTGAAAACTAAAGAATTAGGAAATAATACTTTTAAAGGAAAAACACAAGAGCAAAATATTTGCAAATATAAAGGTACCTGAAATGTTTTTAAAAATTAACAAATTTTAATATTAATTTTCCTTAAAACTCAAGATCTTATCAAACATGTTCACACAGAGAATGCAAATGGTATTTTTGTTTTTAATTTCTGAAATTATGTAAGGATAATATATTTTAGAGCCTTAAGATAGCCTGTAGTAACAGCCAACAAATAGAAAGGAAACATAAAGCATAAAATGAGTTTAGAATAGTAATAAATACCATGAGTAACTACTACAATACATTCAAACCGACAAAATTTTCTTAGTAAAAGACAGATTCTAACATTGTATATTTTTCAAATTCCAATAAAAGGAAATGTTGCAATTGGCTTTGTTAGATGTAGGTACACAATACTACAACAAAAGAGATTGTCAAATATTAACATCAAAGTATAACCTAAAAGCAAAATGAAATCATTGTTATATTTCATATGCTTCCAATATAATACCAAAGTAGACAAAAAATAATATGTAGGTATAATTAACTATAAATCCTCTTACTAGGATCAAGAAAAATGAATAAGAATTCACAACACTTAAAATGTATCCATTTAATCACAAATATCCATATTAGTCTGCAATAAAAGCATGATTTTTCAAACAAATTGGTTGAAAAAATATTTGAGCACAATGTAATAAAATGCTAGACTAATAAAAAAGTTACAGATTCAAAATCATTGCTCCAGTTATTAAAGTTAAGATGAAAATAAAACAGGGAAAGTGAAAAACACAGATTGGCTCCAAAGTGAAGTCAGTGTGAGAGCTGACAGAGTAGGAGAAAGGCAGAGGCACAGCACCAGACAGGCTCAGTTTACAACACTAAATTTTGACAATAAATTAAGCACAAGTTGTAAGGAGCTGGCACATGAACAAGTAAACATGCCCCAGGAAAGTAGATGATAGTATTAATAATAGAAATAAACAGAGGCAGACATGGTGGAATTGGGTAGGGGAAAACTTTCAATTGAGTTCAGCACAGCAAACTAACAAAGGTATATCCTTCCTCTCTTGAAAGCAATTTGCATCTGCCAAAAGAGGGGGCACAGGGTGCTTCAGACTACCATTCATTAATTTAAAAGAGAGAGAGAGAGAGAGGAAGAGGGGGGGGGAGAGAGAGAGAGAGAGAGAGAGAGAGAGAGAGAGAGAGAGGGAGGAAGAGAGAGAGGGGGAGGAATGGGGGAGAGGAGAGAGAGAGAGAAAGCAAGTTTGTGAACCAGTTCTGGAGAACAGAAGACAGGCGAGTTCTGATGGAGCAGAGACCAGGCCTGGAGCTGAGGAATGCCAGCAATCAGGAAGGAGATAGTAATTTAATTGATCCTCACCTTTTCCACACAATCCTGCAGTGTGCACCTGGTGGTAAATCAGGCTAGCCTGCTCCGTACCCTGAAGCTATGACCTCCTGACTGCTAATTTAAATTCTGAGCCATGTGACAGGAATTTTGGTGCTGACAGTAGGAAGGGAGCTTAGAGATGGGAGTAAATGAACGCTCAGCAGCAGTGAGGTCTCTGTGCAGTAAGGGGCTGGGGGGCGCCGGAAACCATCCCACTGTAACACACATAATTGTCAGCATACCTAGCTGAGGCTCCTGAAACACAAAAGATGGGTGGCAACAGGAAAGCTCACAGGGAACATGTTATAGCCATCATTTTACTAATGATTAAAGGCAAGATAATGATCTGCTTTTTATATTATATTGATAGGGGAAGCGCCTGAAAATTGAGGCAAACTATTGGGGAAAAAAACTTTTAGGAAATAGAAGAAAATATGATATTTATGATGACAGGTAAAGAAATAAAAAGAAACAAGAAAATATGGAAAATACAACATGTTAAGCCACCAAGAGGGTGAAATTTCTAATATTAAGGTGATTAAAGTAAACATAAATGGACTATACATACTAATTAAGTGACATAAAGACTCCCATAATGTATTAAGAGCAAGGTGCAGAAATAGGCTACTGAAAGGAAACACATTTGAGTAAAGGTATATTAAATGGATAAAAATAAACAGAAATTCTCATGCTAGGAAGGAAAGACAAGGCAACAGAAACCCAGTGCTAAGTTTTACTCTTAACCAAAACAGAACTGGGTTAAAGCGTATCGCGTGACAGCAGAATAATATTACAAGAAATCAAGATGTAAAGTTCTCACTGTATGTACGTGCAGCTAGTAAGGAACGTAAAATACATAAAACCAGAAGTGACAGGTTTACAGGGATGGATAAAGGGCAGTTAGACTTTATCACACATGCCTTGTGGAAACTGATAGGTCAGCACAGTCAGTAATGAAGGAGAGGGACTCACTAGCCCGACTGCTTAACGCTGATCTACTGGCAGCTAACAGATTCTGGGAGACAGGGAGTCAGAGCATCTAGCTAATACACGCTGCTGAGCACCCCAAGCTGTGAGGGTTAGTTCTAAAGGAGAGTCACAGGGCCTAGTTAAATCCCATGGGACACAAAACAAAACAGAATTAGTAAGTATAGCAAAGATATTTGTAAGGAATAAAGTAGACTGGAAGAGTTTTCAGAAAATCAAGAGTGAGGGGTGATAGAAGTGGCCAGAATGCATTATATACACATGTGAAATTATCACAGAATAAAATTTATTAATAAGAAATTTCAAATGAATAAAACATTGTATTCCACAAATTGCTCAAAACTCAATAATGATGGAATTTCAGGACCACAAATTCCTATCTTCAGAATTCATAAAGTTATTCCAGTCATTGTCATGTCTGAAAAATGGGCAAGATGCTCTGACTCACCCCGAGGCTAACGTAATTTTTATAATAGTTTTGAGTTACTTCATTCATGTCTTTCATTGCTTATTCCTGGGCATTTATGCAACAATAAAGGGTACATACAAGTTTTGAGGGGTCAAAGAGACACTTGAAGTACATATAGTTATAAACTCAGATTAAAAGAGAAAGATGTCATTTTCCCACACATCAACTTACTAATTTGATTACAATAAAAATAACTTAAGAGGGAACCAACAAATGACTCAAATGTTTCCTCGGATAAGCTGCGAGTAAAGTAACTTTTAAAAAGGGGAAAGTTGGGCTGGAGATATAGAGCTCAGTGACAGAGCACTTGACTGATACTCAATGGCCCTGGTTTGACTCCCCAGGATGAGAACAAACAAACAAACTTGTGGATGCTCACATCCCCTCGCATACCGGTCTCAGAGATCACTGAGGAGTAAGGGGCTGTGAGAGCCACAAGGATGCTGTTATGCTGTCATCTGGAGATGACATGGCCACTGCACTCAGGAACCCACTGCAGATATTTTCCCACTGCAGCTGTGGTTAGCTGCTCACGATCCAGACAAGGATGGTCACTACTCCAGCAGCTAGCACTGAGTGGATCCTCTGGCTTTCCTCAGGCCCCAAAGGAGACAGTATGAAGGTAGGAGAGGGTTATAGCACTGGGTGGTGTCTGAGGGTAACGGGAGGGATGAGCTCAGGTGGCTCTCATCAAGGTATATGGTACAAAGCATGAAATTTCAAAAAAAAATGATTAAAAAAGAAGGGAAGTAAAGATGGTTCTTCTTTATCGTATCAGTCATCTGTGCTAATGTGTGTGGAAAATGACAAAGCTTTCTGACCAGAGAGAAACAACCCTTAATAAACATGCTGACCAGGCTGTCAATAATGTGAAGAAATCAAGTCAGGCACGCTATACAGTGAATTCTCAGTACATGCCTGATGCCAATAATTCAACAAACACTTAACTTGGTGAACTGACAAGAACTGTGCAAAGACAGAAGGCACAATCTGTCCAAGAATCATGATCACAGAATCTAGTAGGAAAACACCTAGTTGGCCCAAAGTAAGACTGGACAAAGTAATGGTGGCTTGTGGCTTTGTCAAAGTAGTAAAACAGGTAATTAAGAGAGTCCTGTAACATCAGACTTGGTTGTCTATATACACACTAAGGATTTATCCAGGCCTTCCTTGCACAGCCCTGGGCTGCAGAAAATGGAGCTCTTTAGTTCCAAGGATAGTTAGTATAGCCTAAACTCACTTGCCTGGCTGTGACTGGGAATTCAGCAGGAGAAAGACAGCACGGAAGGATAGGGCATCAACCACCGTTATGCTGGATGTAATTTTCAGCAGGGGTTGCATCTTGCAAAACTGTGAGTGTGGAATGGCTTCTTTAGGTCAAAGGAGGGTGATGGCTTCCTGCTGTCACCATTCCTTGGTGGCTCTATTAACTGTTCAACATCTGCTCATTGAACTCTTCAATGGAACCCCTTGGGCATGTTATTCTTATTAGAAATCTAACTATTTCAGGAAAACAAAGAAAAACAGCATTTTGGAAAAATAACTGCCCTAGAGGAAAGAGGTCATGACCAGGTACCAGAGCATCTGTAAAGTAAAAAAATATACATGTAACTTGAACATATTCTGAAATGATGCCCTATAAGACTGCTACCATTGTGGCAAGTGACAACCATTAAAATTGGTGGTAGTAGAATGCAACTGTACTCTCAAATTCGAGACTCAGATAAGGTTGAACTGCTTCAATCAGAAAACCGATGATTCTTAGTTTATTCCACAAATAAACAGATATTTGACAAAGAAAGGTAGCAGACACAGGCAAACCTCGTGCAGGTCAGGCCTCACCTCTTTGAACTTGTGACTGAGCTTGTTGGTGTCCAGGTCAGATGGGGAAAACATGTCCTCGTTCTCAGGGAGCTCAAAGACTTCAATGGCCATGTCACCACCAGGGAGAACGGGCCCGACCTCATCCTCTTCCTCATCAGTGGCGTATTCTCCAGTCTGAAAGGGAGGGAATTTCAGAAATAACACTGTCCTTATCCTACACAGAGCTGTTACTGAAACAATTGTAAGAGAAAAGCATGGCACCAAATGGTGAGAGCGTTAATGTTTAAATCGTGCATGCCTCATGCACCCTATGTTATTACACACAAATGTTAGTGCAGAGATCCAAATTACCAAGTGTAGACCACAAAGACATGTGCGTTTAACAGTGGGCGGCAGCAGCAGCAGCAGCAGCAGCAAGAGTTGCTTCTCACTTGGAGAATCTGACAGTTTTATTAAATAAGATCACGTTGCTAAAGGAAATAAATAATTTCTTTATTACATTTACTTATGTGTGTATGTGTGTGTGGGGGCATACACATGCCACAGCACACACGCAGAGGTCCAAGAGGAATCTATGGGAGCCCATTCTCTCCTTCCACCATGAAGGTCGCAGGGATTGAATTCAGGTCATTAAGGTTCGTGGCAGATGCCTTTGTCTACTAAGCCATCTCAATGCCTAGGAAACAAGTAGTGTTCTAAACTTCCTACTTCCTGTGTAAATACGCCGTCTAGCAGGAGCAAAGAAGAAGGAATCAGAGATAAGGCTTTACAGAGCTGGCAAAGCCATAATGAAACCTTTGGAAACCTTAGCAAATTAACTCCCCTCACTCCAGAGTTCAATCAGTTGTGTTTTGTTTGTTAATTACAGAGGCATGAACTGGTGAAGGACAAATCCGGGGCTTCTAGCTATACAAGTGCTGCATTATACCTGCAGAGGACTCCAATGAAAAAAATCACCTAAACTTTTAGATTTCCTGCTTTTTCTTGGAGAGCTGAAGATCTGTGCACATTATGAGACCGTGTCTGCCGAGATGGCCAGCTTAGATGGGCTACGCACTTTCTAGTTCACAAAATTTCGCTAACTGGTGTGCTGCTATTAGCCTGCTTGCTCCTTCCCAAGGCCAGCAGGACCCTGTAGGTATTTGAGTTCATGACCTCTGAAATAAATGTATGTCTTTGTCACTGACTTCCTCAACATTATTGGAAAGTAACTCCTCTTGGCAGCACCAGGGTATGAGGCTATAATTCAAAATAATTGCCTGACATCTTTACCTTATGTAATTTAAGGATAAATCACTGTGTCTGTGAGTTAAAAAGACCACGTTCATTTAATTCATCCCTGCTCCTTCAGGAAGTAGCTTTTTCAACACATAAAGTGCAGATACGAACTCATATTGCCTTCAAGCAAGCCTTTGCAAACAATGGAGTGATGGACTCCTTTGATTAACCAGCCTCAGCTCTGAGTGTTGCTTTCCACTCTGCCACTGTGGGAGACTGTGCTTGGCAGTGAAGGGAATCTGGTCATTCATCTCCAAGTGGTCCTTCCTAGTCTGGAAGGCCAGAATTCAATTGCCTTAAGACTTGTCTTTTCCAAATAAAACAATTTTCATTTTGCCAACCCTACAAATGGCTATGCTCTGATTTCTTTCCTAGTGCCTCAGCATGCCCCTAGCTCTGCAGACTAGAAGTGAACAGTGTCTCCTAAGAAACCTGTGGGCCACTAAATGGCACACTGCCTCGGTACCTGTTGGACACTGCTTCCTCACACAGGGACTATTAAAACAGAGACCACAACCTCATGGCATTTGTCTACAGAAATAAGGTTAGGATCTTTCATGTAGAAGGGTAATTTTCAAACTGGCCACAAGAAAGTTGGGTTCCCTCCCTCCCTTTCTCATTCAAGTAAAATTGAAGACATCTTGACAGAAAGGCAAAGAAGCTGGTATTAGCGAATCATTAATTTTGGACAAAAATGGCAGATTAATGCCTATAAATAAAGGATTCTTTAGACACTAGTCTCAAAGGCATGTGTAACCTGTGTCCACATGCCAGGTCACATGCTTTATGAGCCTCAGGGCATTTTGTGTTAGCCCCAGGCTGATGCAGAATAATCATAAGCTTAAAGTATCATGTTTTTTTTTTTTTTTTTTGAGATTCTTTTCTTTCAAACTCGATTTCATGTTTCTTGATCATGAACTTTGTAGATTACAATGTCATGTTAATGTCGCAAGGAAAGACATTCTTGGGTGAACTCTAAGTACCATTCCAAGTATCTTTGACCCTGCCAGTGGAACACAGATGAACAATGTAGCTCATTGGTTTCTGGTAGCTGCTAGTTCGGCTAGCAATTCCTGCAGACTTTTAATCAGAATCAAAAGTTCTTACGTCTAACAATAGGTCTGGACTTGTCTATGGTGCCCTCTATAATAACTACCTCTACAAAGATATGTTAAGAATCCTAGATTCTTTTATTATTTTTCCCGCTTTTGTTCTTCCATGAATCCAAATCTCTTCCATAACTGCTGAAATTGTAACTCCTTTCATTTTTCCATTTACTAGTACTTTTCCTTCCAACTAGGTCAGAAGCATCCTGAAGACAAAGCATGTCTTCCACTGTCTTGAGTCCCCTTTACTGCCTTATTTGTTTTCAGCCTGAAGAATGTGGGCCTTGCAAACTTCTGTGAAATCATTCTCTATCACCAATCATTGCAATTCCTACTGAGCTTTGAATAAAGGATGCAGCTGCTTCAGAGTACCATAAACATCTGGACGGAGAAAGCTATGTTTAGTAGCTGAAGAATGATACACTTTCCTGACTCCTTTATCTTTATTGAAAATCTTAATTATTTTTATGGTTACCCATAAATAAATAAAATAAATGATACGGAACAAAAGATTACCAACATGTTGTAAACCTAAACGTGAGGTCAAATCTGCTATTTGCAGAGAAAGATATACAATGTCATACAATGCCATCTCCCATAAAAAAAAAGCTCCATAAAAACTCGTAGCCACCACCTATCTCTCCCTGGTAGCCAGCTTCCTTCCTGCTGGCCAAATTTAAAATCTTTAAAACAACAGGATTCTTGGCATTCTCCATCTCACTGTGTAATCTGTTTCAGATGTGGCAAGGACAGTTCTCAGGGTAAAAACTGACAAATAGTGTGCATCCCTTTCTGTGTTGTTTACCTTGTTCATTAATACGCTTTCTTTTTAATGGTCCCATTAAAACGCAGGGAATTAAAGAATCCTACTTTAGAAACTTCATGTTTGCCCAGCAATATGCACTCAATAGCTAATGATATGGGTTTGAATACAGGATCTTATCGTGGGGAAACGACACACAGATTTCATCCAAGGGCCATTAGTTAAGTTGTTGAAACTATGATCTAACAAAATCCCTGGAACCCACACTTTTTTCTGTGCTATGCCATCACTGTGCTACAGAAACAAAAACTCCGTAGGGAGAAAACATCGAAACTATACTTCTTTAACATTGCCTCAGATGCAAAGGTTTTGTATGAGCCTGCTGTGTTGAGATAGATCCACATCCACAGCCTTGATTACCAGTCAATTCATTTGGAAGTCTTGCATGTGTGTCTGCTGGGACCCAGAGTTCCGGTCTTTGTTTTTCCCATAGTGTGCTCATCCTGAGCAAACACACACACACACACACACACACACACACACACACACACACGCACGCACGCACGCACGCACGCACGCACACACACACACACGCACACACACGCACGCACGCATGCACACACACGCACGCACACACACACGCACACACACGCACGCACGCATGCACACACACGCACGCACACACACACACACACACACATGAGAAAAAGAAAAAAGGAGGAGGCCCCTTTGGAAGGACATAGGAGCAGCAGTGGGAGATTATAGAAGAGGGATCACTGAAAATCTAACTCATCATTTATTTTCTCTTAAGTCTTAGACATGTTCAGTACAGTGACAAGTCTTCGCCTGGGTTTAGGGGCCTGCTGACTGGTGTTTCATGATTCTTTTCTTACAAAAACCACAGCCAGAATATATAATCACTAAAAATTATTTTAGTGTCCTTAAAGAGAATGAAAATTACTTATGCAAGGGAAGAAAGATGTAAAATCCCTCTAGGTTTTTATTGTGTTACCCTTTACATGTTCCCTCACCTAAGTTTCTGGGTCTCTTGCCTCAGTCTTCCTAAAATACTCTCCCATCACTGTTTCTCACACTTCCTCAAGACACGAATGCTTTGGGACATGAACATTTTATTCAATGAGAGTGGTGATAAAGAACAGCCTGTCAGGGTGCACCTCTTGGCAAACAACTTCTGACTAGTAGGAGCAAAAGCATTGGGACACACCAGAGCCTGAAGCACACATGAGAGATGTAGGCATCAGCCTATGTTTTACTGAAGGAACATAAACTATCAAATCTAAGAAGGTGGTGAAGTGCGGATCAATAAAAGAGTATTAGTTGTGAGATCACTTCGATCTGGGTTCAAATGCTGGCCTTGAGATTTTGCAAGGGATCTTCTAGACCAAAAAAAAAAAAAAAAAAAATTGATTGCTTTCTCTGTCAAGTGAAAAACAAGGCAAACAAAAACCAAACAATGCAAAACAGTCCCTTACCAGGATGAGGTTGTCACTGCTAAATTATGTGGGGGACTGAAAAGCATTTATCAGAAAGGCACCAGTGGTGACACTCTGCATGAAGTCTCATGGGACTTCTGTCTGGTACCCAGATGAACACCAAGTGTCTGTCCTGCGAGTATGATTCCTCAGGTCTCCATACATGCATCTTTTGTCGGTGTTCTAACAGATGCCATTCCTTTTCTAATTGGCTCCTTTTCTCATGTAGCAGCCGGGACCAGTTCACATCAAGCGCAAAAGTCCTGTGCCTCAGCACGTCTCTCTTACACCCTCTCCACCTGTCATCATGGTCCACGATGCATATCTACTCACATCAGAATAGCCCGTGAAGCTGTGGCCAGTAGGACTTCCCTCCCCTTGCCTATGCCCCAGTGCACACCTTCATCTCTCGGAACACTCTCTGTCACATCTGCCTTTTCCCATCAACTGTGAGGTCCTCAACTGTGCCAGGTACAATTTATCCCTATAATCACAGTAGCCAGTGGACTGTTTGGCATCCAGTATGCCCTGAGC